CTACACCTGCTACACCTGCACCACATGCTACACTTGCACCACCAGCTACACCTGCTGTGTTAGACCTGCACCACCCACACCCTCCTATCTCTCTCTCTCCAGGTGTGCATGTGTTTGGTCTATGTGCAACCGCTCTGGTCACTGACGTCATCCAGTTGTCGACAGGTTACCACGCCCCCTTCTTCCTTACTGTTTGTAAACCCAACTACACTCAGGCCGGAGTGTCATGTGACAAGAACCCGTACATCACCAAAGACATCTGCTCGGGACACGACCAGCACGCCATCATGGCCGCCAGGTCAGTCTCTGTCTCTCTGCCTGTCTCATGATCTATAAATAAAGATGGATGACATGACGGCTCCCTAAGCTAAAGCCAAGTCGTCTGGATCAGCGCCTGGAGGCTGGCTGCAGTCTTAAACCTCTCCTCCTCCATGGTGGTGGATGGGACATGGACCAAATCAAGATCAGATGTTTTTTCACTGGTCCTGTTTTCACTGGTGGCTGCTGACTCCAACGCAGCTCTAGATACTGAACGCTTTCTAAATGAACTTGTTTTTCAGGACAGTCCGGGTACAGGGCAGCTCCCAATGAGCTTCAGAATGGCAGTTATTACTGCTGCAGGACCTAAAGAACTGGAGACCTGTACCTCTGCCGTGTGGGGCCTATACAGTCCTCTCCAAGGTCTTAGCTTCTAGACTGCAAGAGGTGACAAGTGTATCTTTCCATAGACCAGGAAAAGGCTTTTGACCAGGTTGAATACCAGAATCTGTGACACAAGCTCAGAGCTTTTGGGTTCAGCCCAGGTTTCATAGCTAAGATCCAGGTTCTGTACTGTTAGATTGCGAGTTTACTGACAATAAATGTTGGTTTGGCTGAAACTTTCAGTGTTCGGAGGAGGAAGCAGCAGCGATGCTGCCTCGGTCATTTCAGTGCAATCAACACTAAAGGACACATTTCAGCGACCGAGGCGACCCACCGAGCATGAAACATAAAACATGTACAGTCACCGTTTATTTGTTTATTAGTATTATATTTAGTGCTGCAATGGCAGAGGAACGAAGCTCCGACTGAATCAGGCTCTTCTCCAGTGAAGTGTTCTGAGCCTCTGTTTGGATGCAGTAAAAGTCCACTGACTTGAATTAGTACAAAGAATGAAGGATCTGGACTCATGGTGACGTCGTGGAGGATTTATTTATTTATTGAACTGTTTGTTGAAATGTCCTTTTGAAAGATTGATAGAATAAAGTTACCTTTTAAAAATCAAAACAATCTCTCTCTCTCTCTCTCTCTCTCTCTCTCTCTCTCTCTCTCTCTCTCTCTCTCCAACAGGAAGACGTTTCCTTCCCAGCATGCAACTCTTTCTGCCTTTGCTGCTGTTTATGTGTCAGTGAGTAAAGTTTGATCATTGACAAACTTTCACACAAAAGACCTTTGATGTGAACATCTTCATAATCAATAATATGCACAATAATCATTCATTAAAACTTTGATGAACAACAATCAACACTACAATCAATAATCAACAATGATAATAATGCATTTGGAAACATAAATATGAGACTTGATCATCAAATATGATTATGATGAGAGAATTGATGAGTTATGGATCTGTGATCAGTCTCTCTCTCTCTCTCTCTCTGTCAGATGTATTTTAACTCGACCATCTCCGACAGCACGAAGCTGCTCAAACCCGTCCTCGTCTTTGCCTTCGCCATCAGTGCAGCGATATCGGGTCTGACACAGATCACTCAGCATCGCAGTCATCCCATCGACGTCTACGTCGGCTTCCTCATCGGAGCCTTCATCGCCACCTACCTGGTGAGATGATTTCCTGTTCATGACACACGTCTGTTGTCAGTGACACGGACACAGTACACGTCAAACACGCAAACCTTCACAGTATCGACAACCACACGTTACACAAGCACCCACAAATAAAAATCCATTGTGTGTGTGTTTTCATTTGTGTGTTTTTGTGTTTTTGCTTTAATGTTTTCAAAAGAAAACTTTTAGGAAACAAAATAAAAAAGGTTGAAATTTGTTGAAATCAAAAGTTTCAACAGATTTGTAGATTATAATTTTTACAGTGTATACGCTGTAAAAATGAAAGTAAAAAGTGTAGTAGTAATAGTACTTGAGTAAATGTACATAGTTACTTTCCACCAATGTTTTCTAGTTTGACTTTTCTTCATCCTTCAGACACTGTTTTATTTTCGTCCTTCAGGCGTTTCACGCTGTGGCTAACTTCAAGTCGTCTGATGACAACACTCCAACCCCGCCTCCCCCTCCTCCAAAAGAAGACCCTCTTCGAGCGCTGACAGAGCGAGGACACGAGTCCGTCTATAACAAGGGACCCGCCTCCGCCTCAGAAAGTAATGATGAGATTGCGGCCGGTCCACCCCCCATAGACCGGCTGGAGGGCCTCGGGCCCCTGCAGAGGGAGAAGACCTCCATGGGGAGCCTGAAGAGGGCCAGTGTGGACGTGGAGCTTCTGGCTCCTCGGAGCCCGATGGGGAAAGAGAACATGTTGACCTTCAGTCATACGCTGCCGAGGGCCAGCATGAGTATTAACGGGGTCCTAGGGGCCAACGAGAGACCAGAAGACCCGGTTCAGCCAGTTCAACCAGTGCAGCCGGTGCAGCGGCGTCTGAAGGCCGTGCAGGTTCCCATGGACCCAATGCGTTCACAGCAGCTGGTGTCGGAGTGGAAGCAGAAGTCGATGGAGATGAGAGGCCTGAGCATTCGGGATGAGGCGGAGCGGGAGGCCAGCGAGGATGGCTCAGATGTGGGCTCTGTGGGGACTGACGATGGGGGGTCTCAGGTCCCTATCTACCAACCTGCGGTGCAGTCTGTGAGGTCAGCTTCCAGTCACAACCCTACTCCACCTCAAGGGGGCGCCAAAGCTGTGGCAACTCCCAGACCACCACAGATTCCTGAAGCAGGACCCCCACCAGTGTCGCCAAAGAGCGCCCTGACTCGTGCCAAGTGGCTCGCCATCCGGGAGAAGACAAGTGGGGATGGGTCGGCCCGTGGTGCTGCTAACCAGCCACGACTCATGCAGGTCATCGCCATGTCAAAGCAGCAGGGACTCCTCCCCTCCTCCTCTGGGGAAAAGTCCTCTGAGACCACCTCCACCTGCTCCGGTGCCTCCTCCACAACCAACTCACCGCACTACCGCCCCCCCTATGAGCAGCAGAGGGAGGGGTTGGGTATCATCACGGTGGATGCCCATGCCCCCCACCATCCTGTTGTCCAGGCCCTGCCCCCTCCTCAGGCCCCTTCCCTCACAGGTAATGGTAACCCGTGGGAGTTGGCGGGGGCACCAAATGGGGGCGACTCGCGGGACTCCTACGACCTCAACTGCCTGAACCGAGGAGACTCGGTAGCACACAACAGCAGCTTCCGGCCACACCGATCCACCTCACGGTGCGCCACTATCAACCCTGACCCTGCCCTGCCCCCTTCTCACTCCCAGGAGGACATGTCGGTGGATGCTAAGATCGCCATGAGACGCAAGACGGCTCTAGTCCTGTTGGATCGAGAGATTCGTAACCAGGGTGACCAGGAAAACTATTATAAGAGTTTGCAGGGACGGAGGTTCAAGGATTAGTCTCTTACCCTTTTTAAAATTAAAGCCTTATTTTAAAACTGCTCACTAACAGCGAAGAACCTGCTCAGTGCCGACATGTTCAGTTCTGATGCTCGGAGGCTCAAGTGTGTCCATCAATCCGGATTTTTGTCCAGTGTTGTCCGCCAGAGGCACTGTTAAAGTTATAATATGACACATTTAGTTTAATCACGTCACACAGAATACAAGTTCAGTTGAGGTTGTGGGATGAGAGTGAGGTTGTGGAATGAAGGTGAGGTTGTTGCGACTTGTATACTTTCACTAACATGAAACCCCCCCACTTAACGTTGGCATAAGCAAAGTGAAACCCGTCTCGTCAGAAGTGGATCCAGTAAAATGTCTTCCTGACGACAGAGCTGTGAATTTATCTGACGTCTAATCCGGTGAGGCGACCGACCACAGTCTCCGAGCAGGAAGCTGGAAAGTTCCCAGGGCAACTTGTTTTTTAATTACCTGAAGTCAAAGAAAGTATTTATGAGGAAGCACAAACCTGAAACGTGCAGTGAAGACCCTGTGATTGTTTCCTGTGTTCAGACCATCACGACTCCGCCCACCGCTTTCATGACCTCAGGATGTCGTGGTGGTGGCGTGTCAGTCGCATGAGATCTTACACTGACTGCATATTACCTGGATGAGTGTGTTGCGTTGTGATGGCTATAGTGATTCTCAGCATGTTGGTTTGTTTGGTGCTGCTCTGTGATTGGTCGAGGCTGCGCATCTGTGTGAATGTTTGTATTAACATGAGATTAAATAGTTATCTAGATAATGATATTCAGAATTTAAAGATACATTCCATGATTTTAAAGTTTCCTGTGTTTGTTACTAATATACAGTATCTTAAATAGGCATTTGTGAATAAATCATAAAACCAAGTTAATAACTTGTATTGACGTTTATGAAAAAACGTTTACACCTAAAGTTGTAATTTGTTCAAAATGAGCACGAAGTCAAACCTTTCAGAATAAAAGTCATATGTTTGGATGTAATATTAGAAAATCCCACAGTGACCTGAAACTAAACGAGTGTGTATCTGTAAATCTGAGGCTGATGATTGTGTCTGTGTAGTTACTGTGTTTGTGTTGTTGCACGTCGACGGCTCGATATCCTCATCATCTCTTTTTAAATTCCTGAAAACTGAAAAGAAACTGAATGTAAAAAACCTGTTTCTGTAAATGTTGTGACGGGAAAAATGTGCCGCTCTGAAAAATAAACGGAGGATGGATGCTGCATGCTCGTCTGATGAACAATAAAAAAATCCTACTTCTTCGACATGGAGTCCTTCAAAATGAAATAATTCAGTGTTCAGAATAACGTTCGGCAGAATATTGTATCATGTTTATTTAAATACTGTTGTTCAAATGAAACTTTATTGTTCTAAAACAAGCCCCACCAAAATGAATTGTTGACATTTTCTTTTATTACTTGTTTCTTTGCTTCAAGTCAGTTCTGACTACAGAAACGTTTTTCATGTATTATGCAGTTTGAACGTTTAACGGAACGTTTTTTATTGTTATCACATTTAATTTGCACAGAATCAAATCATAACATATTTCTCACGTTGTACTTCCAGTTTATTATTGGTCTCCTTCCTCCACAGGTTTGTCCTGGAGCATCTGGGTTAACCGACCAATGAGAGCTGAGAGATGAAAGACCTGCGAGACCTTCCGGGGATTGTGGGAGATTTCAGTCAGCTTCTTCACATACGGTGAGTTCCACTCGGTCTGAGTGAGTCTCGATCTGCCAACGTGATCTTCCGGCAGCTGCTCGGTAACAGACGTCAGGTCGGACTCTACGTCTCTGTTTTCTGTTTTCACTGAAGATTACAGACGTTGAGGAAAGAATGATGAACGAAGTTAACTGACAGGTGAGAGGACAGAGACAGATGAGAGGACAGAGACAGATGAGAGGGCGGAGACAGATGAGAGGACAGAGGAGAGGACAGAGACAGGTGAGAGGGCAGGAACAGGTGAGAGGACAGAGGAGAGGGCGGAGACAGGTGAGAGGACAGAGACAGATGAGAGGACAGAGACAGGTGAGAGGACAGAGACAGAGGAGAGGGCGGAGACAGATGAGAGGACAGAGACAGATGAGAGGGCGGAGACAGATGAGAGGACAGAGACAGATGAGAGGGCGGAGACAGATGAGAG